TCAACTGTTAGCCTCATTTAGCTTTCTTCAAGGTTTTCGTTAATTTACTGTCTATCTTCTTGATCATTAATCCCGCTATTGCTTCATATCTCTCTTTCCACTGTCCTTTTGTATTATATCCTCAGTGTTCGCTCTTCCTCTCTGACATTGGTACTACATTTTTTCGAGGCTCGTTTATTGTACATCTTGTTAATTCCATCTCAGCGTGCTAATGTGGTATGGCAACCTTAATCAACCCTTGTTTGTCCCAGACTGTATGTTGATGATGATTGAATGAAATCAAATCAAGAAATTGAGTTGCAAAGGTGTTGAGATGATCGTATTGGCAATGATAAAGATCAAGACTTAATATTAAAGAGTATCATTTGGAAATATTTATCGATGATACATTTACTTTTTTATTTCACAAACTTTATCCTTAATCGTGATTAGCATGATATTGGTGTTATTACTTACTTACTTACGCCTGTTACTCCCAATGGAGCATAGGCCGCCGACCAGCATTCTCCAACCCACTCTGTCCTGGGCTTTCTTTTCTAGTTCCATCCAATTCTTGTTCATTTTTCTCATATCTATCTCCATTTCCCGGCGTAATGTATTCTTTGGTCTTCCTCTCTTCCTTCGACCTTGAGGATTCCATATGAGGGCTTGTCTTGTGACGCAGTTGGGTGCTTTCCTCAATGTGTGTCCTATCCACTTCCAGCGCTTCTTCCTGATTTCTTCCTCCACTGGGATCTGATTTGTTCTCTCCCACAGTAGGTTGTTGCTTATAGTGTCCGGCCAACGGATCTGAAGTATTTTGCGTAGACAACTGTTAATAAACACCTGTATCTTTTGGACGATGGATTTCGTAGTTCTCCAGGTTTCCGCGCCATACAGTAGAACTGTCTTGATATTTGTATTGAAAATTCTGACTTTGGTGTTGGTCAACAACTGTTTTGAGTTCCAGATATTCTTCAGTTGTAGATATGCTGCTCTTGCTTTGCCAATCCGTGCCTTCACATCTGCATCAGATCCACCGTGTTCATCGATGATACTGCCCAAATATGTAAAGGTTTGTACATCTTCCAAATCTTCTCCGTCAATTGTGATTGGATTGGTACATGTGTTGTATCGAAGAATCTTGCTTTTCCCTTTGTGTATATTGAGACCTATTGCTGCTGAGGCTGCAGCTACACTGGTTGTCTTCTCCTGCATTTGTTGTTGCGAATGCGATAGAAGAGCCAGATCATCTGCAAAGTCTAGATCATCCAATTGCATCCTAGCTGTCCACTGTATCCCGTGCTTCCCTTCCCTTCAGATGTTGATGTCTTCATGATCCAGTCGATCACCAGGAGAAAGAGAAAGGGTGACAGTAAACAACCTTGCCTGACACCGGTCTTTACTTCGAACGACTTTTTCAACTGTCCTCCATGCACGATTTTGCAGTTTAATCCATCATAGGAATTCTGTATGATATTGACTATCTTCTGAGGCACGCCGTAGTGTCGAAGAAGCTTCCATAGGGTTGTTCTGTCCACGCTATCAAATGCTTTTTCGTAGTCAATGAAGTTGATATAGAGTGATGAATTCCATTCAATTGATTGTTCCACAATGATCCGTAGAGTTGCGATTTGGTCTGTGCACGATCTATCCTTACGGAATCCTGCCTGTTGGTCTCGAAGTTGGGCGTCTACGGAGTCCTTCATCCTGTTTAACAATACCCTGTTGAAGACTTTTCCCGGTATTGAAAGAAGAGTGATTCCCCTGTAGTTGTCACAGTTGCTGAGATCGCCTTTCTTTGGTATTTTGACTAGAAGTCCTTCTTTCCAGTCTTTTGGTACCTGTTCCTCATCCCAGATCTTTCTGAAGAGAATGTGGAGTATCCTTGCAGTTGCCGCTACGTCTGCTTTCAGTGCCTCTGCTGGAATGCTGTCTAGTCCTGCTGCTTTGCCACTCTTGATTTGTCTGATAGCCATGCTGATCTCTTCAATTGTTGGTGGGCCAACATCAATTGGGAGGTCCGTGAGTGCTGCTTCGATGTTGGGTGGGTTCAATGGGGCTGGTCGATTCAAGAGTTCTTTGAAGTGTTCTACCCATCTGTTTCGTTGTTCTTCAATGTTGGTGATTATCTTGCCTTCCTTGCTTTTCACTGGTCGTTCTGGTTTACGGTGATTTCCAGAGAGTTTCTTTGTTGTTTCATACAGTTGTCTCATGTTTCCTTCTCTGGCAGCCTTTTCCGCCGTCAATGCCAAATCCTCCACATATTTACGTTTGTCAGTTCTGATGCTCCTTTTCACTTGCTTGTTTACTTCTGTGTATTCAGCCTGTGCCTTGACTTTTTCTGCTCTTGTTCGACTGGTATTGATTGCTACTTTCTTGTTCCTCCTTTCTTGAATCTTATCCAGTGTATCGACCGTGATCCAATCCTTGTGATGGTGCTTCTTTTGGCCCAGAACCTCATGACATGTTGAAGTGATTGCCTCTTTTATCTCTTTCCAGTTGCTCTCCATAGTAGTTCCTTCTCCATTGAGTAGATCATGAAAGGCTTGGAACTTATTGCTGAGGGTTATCTTGAATTTATTGAGTTTGTCATTATCCCGAAGAAGAGCCGTATTAAATTTTTGTGATATTGTCCTCCCCGTTGTCCAGTGCCTCTTGAGTTTCAATTTCATCTTGGCGACCAGCAAGTGATGATCTGATGCTATATCAGCTCCTCTCTTTGTTCTCACGTCCTCCATCGTCCTCCTGAGCTTTTTGTTGATGCAGATATGGTCGATTTGGTTCTGTGTGCTGTGATCCGGTGAAGTCCATGTGGTTTTGTGTATGCGTTTATGTGGGAATATAGTCCCGCCTATGACCAGTTTATTGAAGGCACATAGATTTGCAAATCTCTCACCATTTTCGTTCCTTTCTCCCAGTCCGTGTCGTCCCATGATCTCTTCATATCCGGTGTTGTCAGTTCCAACCTTGGCATTTAGGTCTCCTATTAGAATAGTCAGGTCTTTTGTTGGGCACTTCTCGACGATTGACTTCAGCCTATCGTAGAATTGATCTTTAGCGTCTTCGTTGTATTCGTTGGTAGGCGCATAGCATTGGATGACGTTCATTGTAATCCCCGTTTTCTTGGTTTTGAAGGAGGCTTTGATGATCCTTGGTCCATGAGATTCCCATCCTATAAGTGCATTGTGTTTGTTTGGACAGCATCAATTCAACTCCTTGTGTATGTGGAGCATTTTCTTGTTCATGTCCGGAGTATAACAGCAGCTCCCCTGAAGCTAGTCGTTGTTGTCCAACTTGCGTCCAATGTGTTTCACTGATCCCAAGCACCTCTAAATTGTATCTCCTCATTTCTGCAGCAATTTGGAAAACTCTCCCAGTCTCCCACATTGTGCGAGCATTCCATGTACCTAAATAAATGGTTGCTCTGGTTGTCAGAAGGGGCATTGGCCTCGTGACTTCCGAAGAAACTCGGCTTTCATCGTGAGGCGTCATAATTCTTCTAAACGAAGGCCTTCTGACTCCCAGGACAGAGTTTAAATGGTTTGAATAATTCTTTCTGGTTAGCGTTTTTTTAGCGAGTTAGTTTTCTACGGGATGCAGTCGCTAACCCCATGCCCAACCCTCCTCCTTTATCCGGGCTTGGGACCGGCAGTAGCCCCCGGAAAGGGGCTCCAGGCGGAGTTATTGGTGTTATATTCTGGTAGTATTTGACATACTACCCTTACCTAGAATGACTTAAGTATAGTTAAATGATTCCCTTTTTATTTCCTATCCATTCACATTTATTTTATCACTTTCCATGTACAATTGAGGAGTATAACTTGAACAAATATGTTATTTTATCAAATCTTAATTTATATTAATTCCAATGTACCAGTCAGTCATAAGCAGAGTAGAACCTGGGGCATACATAGATCAATGCAAGTTACCATATCACATCAGTATAAAAAGATGAAATTAACAAGAGGGTTACTGAAGTAGAAGTATTGTTGTCAGTGGTATTAGAAAAAACATTAGGGATAGATAATATGATTTGAGGAAAAAAGTGAATTCGCAGAATAAAAGTGGTTTTGATACTTGAGGCCTAAGGGGAGGGGGAGACAAAGAGTAATCCCATATACACTATTACGATTGATTCTGAACCATGTCACCTTACATCTTTAGTCATTGTTTCGGGTAATCGCTTAGACCTCAATTAGATATTCTACACCAACTTGGATGGCTCGATCTAACAGTCAGTGATTTCATGAATGCTTTTGGAAGAAATAGAGTATGTTGTTTGTGACTGATCAATTAGCCTTTTTAATGGATTTAATTTAATGTTCAGATTTTTATTTGAGAAAAATTGTGTTGCATTGGCCCTCAAATGCCCTGGTACGGCCGAGAGTGGGGAGAGTCCGCTAGCCCTCTCGAAATGCTCTCACATGGCCACGCGTATATAGCCTCTGCCAGGGAAGTCCTACTCACTGCCTTCTCGTGGCGGGGGTGTTGTTTACTAAAATAAGAGAACGAAAAGCGAATGTCCGGTGCTTTAACCGGATCCCAAATCAATGTTGCACATGGGCTCCAGTATCCTGCCTGAGGGAACAATTGGCGTATGAACCAATCGTTGGTCACCGGCTACCATAGGACTGCATCTCCTTACGATTCCCCACTGCCTTGTGGGTCAGATCTTCAGGTCGAAGGCTCGGGGTGTGGTCCCCTAAGAAAACCACCTACTTCGGTTTGGGAACTCGGGCAGTATCACAGACCTCACACATATCCAATGAGATCTATGTGTCGCATATGTATTTGGTGCCTCCTTGTACCAATATCTATGTGTTAAAATAAATAAACTTTGATATCTATGTAGTTCACTCTATGAACTGACCCTAGTTAGATAACCGTTGAAGTTCAGTTTTAAAATGACTCACCTTTCTTAAAATATCCACTTTCATCTAATCACGTTATGTTTAAAATTTTACATGTTAATCTTATCTTATTGTTTTTTTTTCTTTATCATTTTTTTTCCTTTCTAGATTGAACGTCTTGTTCGTCTACTTGACATTTTAGATCGTCATGAATATCATTTAGTTCGTGAACCAAATCCAATGGAATCTTTATATAATCGTATATTCAATGATGATTCAATTCATGTAGATACAGCCACTATTGTGATAACTTTATGTGAATGGGCTGTATCACCATATCGTATTGGAATTTATCGATCAATTGTAGTTGCATGCCTTTTGGAACAATTAAAGAATACATTCTATGGAGATCATAATATAAACAATAGTAATATCAGTAATAAAGATACTATATCATTATCAACAGCTCCAGTGAATACAGTCTCAAGTACTGGGAGTCATGTTAGTGGTATTACAACAACAACAATAACAGCAGGTACTACTACTACTACCACCACTACTACCACTACTAGTTCTAATACTACTACTAACGTGAAAAATACTACTACTAATAATAACAATATCAATATAATGAGTAGTCAAGCTTATCAATCTTTACAAGAAACATTAATAAAATTTCTAGATAATTGTACTATACACTTACCACCATTCAATGGTGAACAATCATTAATTGATAATCATTTAATACGTAATCTTGTTTGTTTATTCTCTGAATTAATTGATCGTGAAGTATTTGATCATGATTATTATGTAAGATATTTTATCGCTCGTGGTGTTTTTGATACAAGTTTACATCCATTAGCTTTAATAGATAATACTATGCAAAACAAGATAAATACAAATCCATTATCCATTAATAATAATAACCAATCTGTTAATACACCAACAAATATAACACGTACTACTACTACTAATACTACTACTACTACTACTACTACTACCGGTGGTACTAATGTATCAACAACATCAATTCCATATCATTCTCAAACAACAGCACAACATTCTGTTAAATCAGAATTCTCTGAAGATATGGATCGTTCTAGTATGGATAATCCAGATTCTGTACGTTCAGAATGTGGTATTTTAAATGTAATGTCATTACAATCAATGAATCATCAATCATTCTCATCCTCCTCCTCATCATCATCGAATAATCAAGGAACTATTCATTCTAATCGTCATTTACATTATTTAATACAATTTCCTATACCACAAGATGAAAGTTATGTGCATGAACAAAATCAACGTTATCAATTATTATATGGTTCAGTACGATCAAGAGATCGTGCAAGATATCCTATACGTAAATTAATACGTGATATATGTAAATTATTTACTAAAAAAATTTATTTAATTGATGTATATCATGGTGAACTTGGTCGACGTAAAAAGAGTAAAGATAGAGAACGTGATAAAGATATTAATACTAATAATACTACTAATACTAATAATAGTAATATCAGCTCGAATAATGTTGGAACACCACTTGGATTAGGTACATTTGTTGGACAATCTACAACTTCTACTGGAATAGGAATATCGAATAATGGTAGTAATGTTGTAGGGAATGGATCTAATCATCGTAATGTTAGTAATAATAATAATAATAGTAATGATGAAACACGATCAATTGATGAAATACATGAAGATATAATAAAACGTTTTATTAATTTATCATTTTATGATATGGATTATGTATTATCTCAATGTACTCCTGTATTTGTGAAAATGTTAAATGGTTCTAATTTTCATTCAACTATTAATGCATCATCCAATGAAGATAATAATAATAATAATTCAATGAATACAAATTCACCATTATCATCATCATCTTGTTCAACGAATACTCAAAGTACTACTACTACTACTACTACTAGTAGTAGTAGTAGTAGTAGCATCGTTACTACCGTTAACAACAATTCTAGCAACAACAATTCTAATAATCAATTATCCATAGCAACAACAAATAATCAATCTCATATTTATATGCCTGTACCTAATTCAATATTTTTATATTTTGAATTAATTGAAACTTCATTAAATATTACATCTTTAATCTTAACTATTATTGATACATTAGAACGTTTAAAGATATTATTTGAAAATCGTACACATTTTATGACATTATATATGTCATCTTTATGTCTTAGATCTGTTGGTATATTACAACGTTATCAAAATGTATTATTTACAATGGGTGATTTATCTTGTCGTTTATTTCCTACATTAATTGAACAAGTTCGACAAGTTAAAGAACCAACACAATGTGGACCATTAGAACGTTGTATATTAATTTATTTAAATGATTTATTTACATCTAATATTGTAATTAAAACACGTTTTACACCAATTTATGGTAAAGCTCATCAAAAAGTTAATGCTTTATTACGTCGTATTGATCCAAATGATGGTATAGGACAATTTGATCCAGATTATGCAAATGATTTAATTACAATTACATCATCCATAGATAATATGATATCATTTCGTATATATGCTGATGATTTACGTAATAAACCTGATTCACGTTATAGTTTTGTATGTAAAGCAATTATATGGATATGTCAAGCTAAAACAATAGAACATGTGAATTATTTATGTGGTTTATGCGCTGAATTAACATCACAATGTAGTGAATTAACATCAGAATGGCTTGGTGCATTCTATGCTATTTTAGCACCTCATTCATATATTCATGGTTATAGTACATTAATTAATACAATTGATCCAAGTCAAATATGGATATATGATAATTTAAGTTCATTAATTGGTACATTATTATCACGTTATTGTTTTACAATATCAGATTTTTTACGTTTAGTTATATGTCCAGCAATGGCTCAAGGTTTAGATAATATAACACAACCAGTAAATATACAATTAAAATCAATTATATCATTAGCTTGTCATATATTACATTGTTTATTTACAGCTGAATCAACAATTAGTTCATTACAAACAACATCTAATGTATTAACACCAAATTCTGATATGAATTTATCAAATACTACTACTACTACTAATAATAATACTACTGATAACTTATCAACATCTCCACCTTTTCGTATTTCAGAACCATTATTATTAACTGGTGCTTTACAAAAAGTTACTTCAGAATTTCTTGTTGATGTATTAAAAATGCTTATTGTTCATAGTGATAAAGCATCCGTTGATAATAATAATAATAATACTGGATCTTATTCACAAGATGATATGATAGATGAAACTGATAATGTTCCAGGAAATAATGATGATACTGATGCAAATCAAGATGATGATGATGATGTTGGTGGTGGTGGTGGTGGTGGTGGTGGTGCTGGTGATGATGATGATGATAATGAACATGATGATGAAAATAATGACAATGATGGTGGTGGTGGAACACAAGATAATATTGATGATATTATAACAACAGATATTGATTTAGAAGGTGATCCTACCATATTACGTCATACAACACGTAAACGTACTCGAACTAAATTATCACAATATCAAAAAGATAATAATTCTAAAATAAAACGATTTAAATTACAATCTAATCATAATTCTCATTTAACTCATCATAAAACAAATCCAAAAATACATTATATTATACAAAGATTTTTAGAACATGATATTTTACCAACCACAATAGAATTACGTTCATTACCATTAAATGCATTAACACAATTAGTATTACGTGAAATTTGTACTATTTCATGGGTACGTGAACGTTTTTATCAAATGACATCGAATCAATTAATTCGTGAAAATGTATTAATTGATAAAAATTTTACACAAAGTCAAGCAAGACGTTTATTACATATTATTTATTGGCCATATGATATAAAATGGATTGATATAGCATCAACAAATGATGGTTTATCTGGTGCTATGTGTCATATATTACATCATTTAAATATATGGACATTAAAATGTACACAAATTGAATTTCAATTATTATATTCACAAATATCATTTTCACAACAAACTGAAATACTTGGTTATTTAGCACAATCAATTGTATATGGATTTCAATCACAAATTATTAATTGGCTTGATTTTAATAATCATAATACAACTGTTTCCATGGCAACTAATAATAATAATAGTAATACTAATACAACGACTACAAGTAATAATAATAATAATAATTCTAATACTACTAATAATAGTAATTATATGAATTTTCAAGAAGGTTCCATTGGACATTTAATAGATGATTTACCAATTATTGAATTAGATGATAATGATCCTGTATGGTTATTTCCTGCATTAATAGCTAAATTACCAAAATCATTAAAAGCTCAAATTGTAAAAGTTACATCTGAGGTTTGTTTATTATTGTTATTATCATCTGTTTTATAATTCATTTCTTGACTATATTTGTTAGTGTTAAGTTCATAATTGGTCTTGAATATTGCCTTGGTACACCCGAGAGTGATGAGACTCCGCTGCCCTCCTCGTAATGCTCTCATATGGCCATGCGTATATAGCCTGTACCAGGGAAGTCTTACTCATTGCGTTCTCGTGGCTTTACTGTTGTTTACGAAATTGAGAGGGCAGAAAGCGAATGTCCGGTGCTTTAACCGGATCCCAAACCAATGGCGCACGTGGGCTGGCTCCAGTATCCTGCCTGAGGAAACAAATGGCGTATGAACCAATCGTTGGTCACCGGCTTATTTTATTTATTTATTTTAACACATAGGTATTGGTACAAGGAGGCACCAAATACATATGCGCCACACGAATCTCAATTGATTTGTGTGAGAGCTGTGATACTGCCCGAGTTCCCAAACCGAAGTAGGTGGTTTTCTTATAGGGCCACACCCGGAGCCTTCAACCTGAAGATCTGACCCACAAGGAAGTGGGGAATCGTAAGGAGATGCAGTCCTATGGTAGTCGGTGACCAACGATTGGTTCATACGCCCTTTGTTCCCTCAGGCAGGATACTGGGGCCAGCCCATGTGACCATTGACTTGGGATCCGGTTAAAGCACCGGACATTCGCTTTTCGTTCTCTTATTTTCGTAAACAACACCCCCGCCACGAGAATGCAGTGAGTAGGACTTCCCTGGCAGAGGCTATATAGGCGTGGTCATGTGAGAGTATTTCGAGAGGGCTAGCGGACTCTCCCCACTCTCGGCCGTACCAGGGCATTTGGGGGCTGGTCACCGGCTACCATGGGACTGCATTTCCTCACGATGCTCCACTGCCTTGTGGGTCAGGTCTTTAGGTCGAACGTTCGGGTTGTGACCCCCTAAGAAAACCGCCTTCTTTGGTTTGGGCACCTGGGCAGTATCACAGACATCACACTTATCCAATGAGATCTGTGTGTCGCATATGTATTTGGTGCCTCCTTGTACCAATACCTATGTGCTGAAATAAATAAATAAATAAATAAATAACCTGTCCCAGAGTTGGCAAATAATGCACGACGTGGAATTCTCTGGGACGACATTCGTAGAACATGTCCAAGCCACCGAAGTCGGTGTTTCAAGATGGTGACACCAATTTCATTATCGTCTCTGTGACCGAACACTCGATGCCGAACCTCTGCATTACTGACATGGTCTTGCCACTGGATGCCAGCAATCCTTCGGAGACAACGATGATCGAACACAGAGAGTCGTCTAACATCCTCAACTTGGAGAGGCCAGGTTTCACAAGCATAGAGCAAAACTACTCTCACCGTCGCGTTGTAGATCCGACCTTTTACAGCCAGACTAACATCACGAAGGCGCCAAAGATGGCCCAGATTGGCATAAGCCACTCTGGCTTTCACTATACGTGCATTGATCTCATCACTCACACCACCACCAGCACTTATGCAGCTACCTAGATACACGAACTTCTCGACTACTTCAATCTGCTCACCATCCGGAGTGAGTACAGGATTAGAATCCTGCCAGTCTTGTAGAAGTACTTTGCACTTCGAAGGTGCAAAGCACATACCATACCTACGGACACTGATTGCCAACTGATTAAGTGCGGATTGCATGGCTTGGGCATTCTCGCACAGTAAGACAATATCATCCGCATACTCAAGGTCGAGAATTCTTTCTCCAGGCAACAGATCCACACCACCATTACTTACATCCGTCAGAGCTGTTTCCAGAATGTCATCGATGGCAAAGTTGAAGAGGAATGGTGAGATTGGGCAACCCTGCCTAACCCCACTGCTCGAATGGAATAGTGGAGAAAGGTGGTTGTATGCCCTCACTCTGCCTGAGGTGTTTGTGTATAGGGCTTTTAGGATGTTAATAAACTTCTCAGGCACACCCTTCTTCAATAGACAATCCCAGAGAACAGTTCTGTCCAACGAATCGAAGACAGCCCTGATGTCAAGAAACACTACGATTGTTGGCCTTTGATAAGTATGGCGGTGTTCTAACATTTTGCGGAGGGTGAAGATATGATCAATACATCCTCGACGGGAACGAAACCCAGCCTGCTCCTCGCGAGTCAATCCTTCTCGGGTTTTGAACAACCTACGAAGTATAACGGAAGCCAATAGATCGGACGCAATTGGAAGTAGACTTATCCCCCGATAGTTGTTACAGGAACGACGTGAACTCTTTTTAAAGATAGGGACAACTATCGACTCATTCCATGACGTTGGCACACTCTCTAGTTCCCAGACCTTTGTAAACAACGATGTTAGTCCCTTAGTCAGAAAGTCACCACCATCTTTAAAAAGAGCCGGAGGTAAGTCGTCTGGGCCCGGTGATTTGTAACGTTTCAAGAGTTGAAGTTCCTTGCGGACTTCCGCCTCATTTGGTGGATCAGTCGTCACCGGCCATGGAGGGCAGAACAGTCTGACCGATGTCGCCGGAGCAGCAGGCCAGTTGAACTGCCCTTCGAAAAATCCTGCCCATCGTCCAAGACGTCGGTGGATGTTAGTGATTTTCGTTTCGTCATCCTCGCAGATTGTTTCGCTCGCACCAGACTTCTTGCTGTCAGTGGTTTGGATGAGGTAGAAGAGCTGCTGCTTCCAGCTCGTTAGCACGCTCCGACTACCAGGTTTCTCGGTCCTTACGCAAGCTTTGTCCGAATTCATTACGTAACATTCTTCTGTTTGTGGTCAAACTCACGGTCACTCGGAGTAGACCGACGGGCTTCAATCAGTTGTAAGAAACCAGAAGAAACCCAGTGCTTATAAGCGGGACGTTTCGCGAATCCACAACAGACTTTACCCGCCATTTTCATGGCGTCATGCAATTGCAACCAATGCTCATCTATACTTTTTGGTGGAATGGTGGCTAGCCTAGAAGCTAGCTCGATTCGATACTTACTAGCAACAGAAGTTACAGCCAGCTTGCTAACATCAATCCTTTGGTTGCGATCATTTCGTTGTCTACTGAAAAGTAAGGTAAGATTGGCGCAGACCAGGGCATGATCAGATTCCAGATAGGTACTCCAAAAGGAGCGGCAGTCTTGTACACAACCGCGCCAGCAGTAGCTGATCGCGATGTGATCAATCTGAGTCCAAGCTTGAGATGCAGAAGGGGGACGCCAGGTGGCACATCGGCGATGACTGTGCCGAAAGTTAGTGCTAGCCAGAAACAGGTTGTGGTCTGTGCATAGTTGCAGTAGACGTTCCCCGTTATCTGTCCCGCGACCAACAAGTCCCCATCGGCCACCTAAAGGACTCTTCTGTGTCTAGACGCCCTACCTGAGCATTCAAGTCTCTGGCTAGTACTACAATATCTGTCGAGCGCACTTTCTGGAGAAGAACAGTTAACTGGTGGTAGAACTCATCCTTGATTGCATCCGGGCTGCAATCTGTCGGGGCATAGGCGGAGATGACGAAAAGACATCGTTTCTCACGCCGATTTCTTCTCACTTTGATGGAACTTTCTAATCTAACAGCAAATAACCGACTGTTAATGGGGATGCAATCGATTAGTGCTGCCTCAGCTCTTGCGCTTAGTGCGACACCAACGTGAGCAAGACCAGACGAAGATGTCACAAGGCCCCCGGATAAACGCACGTAAAAGAAGCTTTTTGATGTGACAGATGGAGAGCGGATTTGTAGTATTTCATCAGTGTCTTGAATACGGGTCTCCAATAGACAACAAACATCGATATTAAGGCTTTCCAAAGACATAGCCAGCCCTGCATAAGTGTGCGAACGTTAAAAGCAGCCAGTTTGAATGGTGCGTGTGGTTTCAGAAAAACTGCTTCACTACTCGTATTCGGTGGTAACATACAATTTCCAACCACGCAGTGAATCGAGAACGTTCAGATAGAACCTAATTTCCACCATAGGCGAGCTGCAGTATAAGTCGAAAAATAAGGATAGACAGAGTAGGAATAAAATGGAGTGAATAAATGACGTAGTAAATAATAATAATAATAATAATAATAATAATAATAATAATAATAATAATAATAATATTAATAATAATAATAATAATAATAATAATAATAATAATAATAATAATGCGAGTTATTTGATTGTTAATCTGGGCGAAGAGAATATTTTCCATTAATAGACTGTTCATCATGTTTTTGTGTGTGGGCTGAGATACTGCCCGGGTGCCCAAACGGAAGCAGGTGATTTTCTTAGGGGACCACACCCCGAGCCTTTGACCTAAAGGTCTAACCCACAAGGCCGTCGAGCATCGTAAGGAGATGCAGTCCAATGGTAGCCGGTGACCAATGATTGGTTCATACGACATTTGTTCACCCAGGCAGGATACTGGATCCAGCCCATGTGCACCATTGGTTTTGGATCCGGTTAAAGCGCTGGACATTCGCTTTTCGTCCTCCCATTTTCGTAAACAACACCCCGTTGGTGAGAAGGCAGTGAGTATGACTTCCCTGATAGAGGATGTATACGCGTGGCCATGTGAGAGTATTTCGAGAGGGAGGGCGAACCTATCCCATTCTCGGCCATACCAGGGCATTTGGGGGGCATGACTGACTGATTGACTTCCTATGTCATTTATTATCAGTTTGTGTGTAAGCATGATTGAATAAGCATTGGAAACGTTTGTTGAATGTTTCAACTCATGGTTATGACAATTTCAATCATCGATGAAAATTTCACAGCTCGATCATTTCTCCTGTGGCATATGATCATAGATGAAGTTATTACAAATGTAAATCTTATTAACTTCAAAATAGATTATGGGAGTTTTAGTAGGAACCAGTGATTGATAGAGTTGAACGAAATTGGGAGTGAAATAGTGACTACTGTTGATATTAAATGGCAGTCATACTATATTAGGGAGTGGACTAAACATTCGATTTCGATTTCATCTTGTAAAAGATAGGGTTAACAAGATCGAGGTATTATTATTGTTTCATGAAATCATTGACTATTGG